CCTTCGTACTGTACTCCGTCTTGGACATGGCGTAACAGACCTGGACGTAGCTCACGTCATGCGTGGCACGAAGGATGATACGTAGCGCCTCGTTCCTCACTGTGTTCGAAGGGAACAGGGTCACACCTCGCGCCGCACAGTTGCGTAGCAGGAGATCCATTGCCATCTTTGCGTGCACCTGGTGACGGGACCAGGTCATGGTCAAAAGATGCTCACTGCATTAGGCAAGTCATTTGATGCACCTTGGGAAATTGGCTTTCAGATTAAGCAAAGATCGCGGCCATGGCATGCAGGTGCAAACGGCTCAAAAGAAAAACTCTGAAACCAGGATTAGTGCCATTCGTACTCGTAGGTTCAGACTTACTTAGGTACTCCGTGTGCATACTCACCACGATCTCATCTGGAGACGGCATGCCACGTATCAAGCCCTCCGCGCTCCTCTCCGGATCATAGTCAATGATGAGAGTCATCTGCGGGACGTTCCTTTCCCGCTTCACACCACGGGCTTGGAAGCCCTCGGCAGCCCCTGCGCCATGCCCGCGGTACGCTGCTCCTCTTGTCCGGTACGTGTCCTTCCGCTGGTCATGCACTCCTACCCGTGTAGGTTGTGCCGCAGGAACAGGGCCGGGTGCACCTCCGTTGGTGTTGTTGAGGTGGTCACGCTCATTCTTGAGTCTGTTGGTGTAAAGCCCTCCGTTCACTCGCCCGCGATGTGCAACAGCCGTAGCGTGGCCGACAGCCTGGGGTGGGGTTGCGGGCTGTGAGGTAGGCTGTGGTGATGGATCAGGATGGTCATTAGTGAAAGCATGAGGGTTCTCGTCAGTAGTGATAGGGGCAGCTCGAGGTATGTTACTCGCGGCTGCCTGCGTGTCACCCCTATTTAACCCAGTGATGGGGCCCTTTCCACATTCTTCGTGCCTACGGACAGAACTGTCAATACTCGCCAACGCCTCTAACTCATCAGCACCTAGCAGTGGAGTGCCACGACTACCAGCAGCCGCAAGGATACCCGAAATGTCACGGCCACGTCGCTGGCGAACGCTGTTGAGCAGCCTCGTCAGCTCTAAGAGTTCTGGATCGTCTCCTCCGGCATCCCCAACACCCTCCTCGGGGGACGATTCACCGTGCTCTGCCTCCATGTCGTGAGTCTGTCCCACGCCACCATCGAAGAAAGGCGTTGGCACCATTCCAGGGAGGCCAGCGCCCATGCTAGTTCCACGTTCTGCGTTGGCCATAGAACGATGAACCAAAGGTGACAGCGGTGTTGAAGCAGCGTGTACCAACGCAGGAGAGAACAATGGTCCACGCTTGACCGAGCAGTACTGCTGTGTGGGACTGCTCGACCACTGCCTCCGGGCATTGAGTACCGGCTCACTTCCTGCTGGAGTCAGAAGCGTCGACGGCTTCAACTCGGTCGCTGCAGCACCCTTACCGCCATGTTCTGGTGAACTCCGGTCGATGAGTGGCGGCTTGCGACTCGTACCAGGAGGAGGCGAACACTGAAGATGAGGGCTAGTAGAACCAGCTTCCCCCTTCGCCCGACCATTCAGCGCTTGTTTCGCGCCATCGGCTCCATAACGGGCTTTGTGCTGCTGATAGTTCGCCATCCCGGCCGATGCCACGCCCGTTGCGACGGGGATCAACTGCGGCACTTGCTCACCCCCCTGTACCTTCCGTGTGTAGATGCTCTCTCCCTGCCGCCACATGTTCTCTTTGCTAGACGCCCTCCCACGGACTTGTCGTACGACTGGCTTGTGTTCTCGGGCCTTCTTTTCCCTGGGGGGCTTCTTTGCTTGCCGTCCGCGCTTTACAGGTGCAACTGGCTTAACAACAGTGCTAAGGGTGCCTGGTGGGTTGGCGTTGGAAGTGGGCACACGCGGTACATCAGAGTCAGTTCCTGCCTCGCTGCCAGATGCCTCCCATTCTTCGTCCGCACTGTTATCGCCACTGCTTGACGTAGCTTGTGATTCGTTCGTTCCCTCCTCCGACTCCGCCTCGGTGCAGTCAGAAAACGGCACCGTATGGAGGATTGCGTTGTAGTTCACAAAAGCCTCAAGCCCACCCTCGCAGCTTCTTGGCCCGCCATGATCAGTTTCGCCGCTCGCCACGGGTATTGGGTCACTCACTGCATGGTGGATCTTTATATCAACAATGAGCCACGGAATGGTAAACCCAACTCTATTAAATGCAATAATTGTGAATTGAGGCCCCAAAATAGTATGCCTAGTCCAAGCAATGCTCACCAGTGGCACCGTGCTTCTCCTGCTTTCCGCCGTCGTCAGCCTCCACTACTTTCACCGGCTTGCGTCGGCCAGGCCGGTGCTGCGCATGCAAATCAAGCCTCTCCTCGACGGTGAAGCCGTACGGCTTAATGGGAGGGTCTGCGGGTCCAGCGATGTCCGGGGCTTGCTCCGCTACCAAATAACCCTTGGGCGTAGGGTTGGACACTCGGTGTTGTCTCAAGAACGTCCTAGTCGCCTCCACATCCGCCGCCCATTGTGCAGTCGACGGCTTAGACTTACCTCCACTTTTTATGCCTTCGAAATCATCAAGCCTCTGGGGAGGACGTCTAACACGCACCGGACGAGCGACAGCGGCACACATGGTGAGCGGCTGTTTCACTCTTACCTAACAAAATATAGCGCCTATGCCACGCTAAGTTAGTAAGGTTCGCCCTGGTGTGAGCGTAGCATTCCCATGAGGGATAAGAAAACGTGACGGTGCTTGTAATCGTCAAATAGAAGAGGAGCTCACGGATCGACCCCGTAGGAGCTTATTCCTCGTTGATGTCACTCCCCGGGGGCCACTCTCAGCCGTGGATATTCACACAGGGCAGTTTCATGGGCGCTCCATGCAGTCTCGTCCTTCACCCAAATTACAGGTGCAAAATGCGCCGTGGTTTCGCCACATCACCTCGTGCAAGTCGATCATCTCACCAGCAGAACTGTGCCACGTGGATCTACAGAGTGTTCCTCGTCACTGCTTCGAGCAAACCGAAACCACCTGTGTAATTTTCTGTATGTCCCTGTGACAGCCTGTCGTTTCTCGATGGCCCCGAACCACATCCACAGCAGGCCTCTATGGCTATGTTACCCACACCAACCGCTAACATCCAGCTCACTGACCCTCTGGAGCATAGCAAACCGTTTCCTACACCGTGGGACCACTGAGCAATTGCACATTCCAAAATACGGTAACCCAACGTAATCGAGAGACAACATTCAGTCCATGTCCCCAAACTGTCCCTAACCTGTCTCCCGCCGCTACACATCCCAAGGGTTTCGCTGCTCGGCATCCGATAAACAAAATGACTTAGCATAGACTTAGGGTTACGCCGTCACTTACCCGGCCACCGAACCAGTACCTCCCCAGAAAGCCTCCATTGATTTACCCGATGGCTAGGAAGCGTAACAAGAAGGTCGCTAAACCATTTGAGCAGTATGTAATGCCATATCCCTTAGGAGGCAGCTATTTGACGATCTCCCCTCGCGAGGCAGATTTCCTGCAGCCAGGCAAGTGGGTCAGCGGTGACATCATCGAGTGGTGGGGCATGTGAGTACTATTCGTGCAAAGTTCATCTTCGAATGAAGATGCTAATGCTTCCATTCTAAGTGCTTGTAATCTCTGATTCATCACCTTTCCTGCACCTGTCTGCAGAGTTTTACAGTTCGAACACGACTTATCCCGTCGTGAATGGTTGTACTGCAGCACATATCTGTACGACATAATGCAACGACCCTCACGATCGGCTCCATGGACCAACTATACATTCGGGGAGAACGTCCTGACTTTCAAATGGGTATTCATCCCAATAAACCTAGAGTAAGATCCATTGCAATCGTACTGAGCAACCTGTAATGATGGCTCATTCTTACAATCGCCCGAGTGTTTTCTTAGGACTGGCATTACATCCTATCACATCCGTTCCAGCAATCATTGGAGCCTTGTCTTGCTGGACAACAACCCGCCTGTGGACGAGGATATCATCCCCCTACCGCCACGGATTCTCCATGCAGACTCTCTCTCCCAGCACTTGTTATTCGACGCACCCATCAAAAGGTATGTAGTACTGCTAGTACGGGACGTGTCAGTGCGGGCAGAATGATGTTACCTCGTAACAGACGGACCATTGTACTGTGTTGCATCTATCAGCTTCCTGCGGGAACAACTGATGATCCTGAATCCGATCGTTACGGAGTTAGAGGCTGAGGTGTGGGAGAGCGGGATACGCTACGCGCCAATTGAGGTAAATGTGCACGGCTCTTGTGCTCTCCCACTTATAGCAACACAGTGACGCACACTGTTGGCATGCTGAACGCTGAACATGCAGGTGCCACGTCAGCAAAACTCTGACGACTGTGGCATATACATTATGAAGTTTATGCAGGCGCTCGTTGAAACCAGATTTCAAGACGTGAAGGCCATTGTGGCACATGGATCAAGCGTCCAATGGCGTGCTGAGTATCTTAAGGACTTCATTTCATGGAGTGTGGCCTATAGCAACAAGTAATGTTGCTTGTAATATTGTGAACACGGTCCTGCTTGCTAGAGGACTAGATGTTTGTGCAGGGTACTAATTGGTTTTCAAACAGTTACGAAATATCAAGAAACCTGCATCAGCTACTAGCATTGCTGCCAAGTTGGGGATCATGTAACCCAGTGTAATCAGTCCTTGTGCGCGATGGGAGTATTACACATCAGCTAGTACAATAACCAGACACGAGATTATCATGCTTAGTGACGCACACATATGAAATTCGTTAATCGAAACTACTAGAAGTTGCCTATAGCGCGAACGAGATTGGACCTCAGGGGACATCAACCAGCCTAAACTTGTACCTCTGGGGTTTCGTTTTTGCCAGTCGTGCTCTCACCTAACTTGGTTGCGCCGTGAGATGGCTTCTTGGAAGAACTTGCGCGGCAGGCGAGCGTCGCTACGACAGCAACTACTAGGGGAGGAGCCATTAGTCGACACAGAGGAACAATACGGCTCCTGGTCTATGAGGGTCTCCGGTGCGTGGATGCTGCCCGAGTTCAACCCTCACGCACCTCGTGACTTGGGCAGGCCGGGGTCAGGCCCTGGCTTAGGTGAGGGAATGTCTGACGGAGATGTTGAAGCGCCATGTCGTAACTTGGGACTTGCACCGTACGGACCGACTGAGGCTAAGGACGCCGAAACGGAGGCAGGAGACTGGGGGTTCCTGGATGCAGAGACAGAGGCGCAAAAGGATTCAGAGGCGACTGATGACGAGGAGACGCAGGACGCCATACCGGAGGTCGCGACGAAGGACGCCGATGTCGAGTTTGGAAGAGCGGGTGTGGATAGAGGAGACGCGGAGACAAATGATGACACGGCCGATGTGGCGCCAGAGGACGCAGAGACAGAGGATGGTAATGAGGAGGGGGCGTGGGAAGACGCAGAGACCGTTAACAGAAATGCGGGTGTGGCGCCAGAAGACGCAGAGACCGAAGACGGAAATGTGGAGGTCGCTAAACGTGAGGCAGAGACCGAGAACGGAAATGCGGAGGTCGGCAAACAAGACGCAGAGACCGAGCACGGAATTGTGGAGGTGGCGCCAGAAGACGCAGATACCGAGGACGGAAATGCGGAGGTGGCGCCAGAAGCCGCAGAGACAGAGGAGGGAAAGCCATTTGTGGCGCAGGAAGACGCAGAAACAGAGGACGGGAATGCGGAAGGACTGGCAGAAGACGCTATGACAGAGGAGGGAAAGCCGGGGGTGGCGCTGGTAGACGGGAAAGCAAATGGAGGGAAAGACGCGGCATGGCGACATGAACCGGGGTTGACAGGCAAGGGAGGTTCTGTCTCTTCCGCCGACGCCGCCATAGAGCGACCTAACTTTACAGCACATGTTAAGGTGGAAGCCGTTCCCACGCCAGCCTCGACTTTGAAGCTGAGCGGGGAACATGCCATTGGCGCAGGTGTTGCAAAGCCTTCACATGAAAACAACTCTGCCTTGAGGGGGGGGGTGGGTCACTCTAGGGATGTTCCTGACGGTTATGTATTCTCGAGTAATGCCTCCCCGGCTCGAGCCAACCCTGTACCCAGCGGTGCAACCCAGGCCACCCGCTCTGCATCGAATGACGCACAACGGGGTATGAAAAGGACAGTGACGGATGATTGTCATGATCGCGTATACGCACGCTCAGGTTTAACATTGTGTCTTTCTTTCTCTGTTTCTTGTTGTGTAGGCTCGCGTCACACTTCTCGTAGCCCTGGGGGCCACACATCATCCAGGAGCAGGCCGGTTTTCCACGGCCTAGTTGCGGGTAATCTTTACCATTGCGTATTATTCAATATCCATGTATTCCTTGGTGTTAACCAATCCCCAAGGGCACCCATGTGCAGGAGGGTCCCGGCCTACTACTTATGAAGATGCTCGGCTCTTCATGCGTTTGTTGGAGCGGCTCTTACCAGCCGAGGAGGTCAAACGTAGTAGGAAGGACTCTGGCGCTGGTTGATACAACCCTATTTGTTATGGTGCAGCCATGAACGGTCACTAGTAGTTTCAGTTGCAATCACATGCGACTGACTGATGCATTTGAAGAAGGCCCTAGGCTGCGTGACCCCATGCATTTTGGCTGTGTTGCTGTTGTTATGTTTAGGGGATTAGTGCTTGGTCAATGTAGTTTATATTACAAAGTAGGGTAAACAGACCCCCGTCGTCAGAAATAATGCTCCAAATATAAGTTATTCTATCTCCTAAATGAGTCATATCACATCCAGCGCTGTACCCAAGGCATAAAAGGTACAGTGCCGTAACAGAGCGGGATATGGTCCTGGCTGTGCATCAGTGAGACGTGGAAATCGCCGTTGTGCTCGTAGCTGGATCTCAGTCGCAAACCCTAACTGCCGGACCGCTTAGTCGCGATATACGTTAGAAGTTGTAGACGCGCATGCCAGTAGAACTATGCGAATTCTGTGGTGATACATTCGGCAGCTTTCAGATTTTAAGGTCGCATCATGGGACATCGAAAAAGTGCCTTGCAGAACAGGAAAGGCTAGCTACACTTGGCATCCCCCTAGGACGTTATCATGAGTATCCACGGACGGTATACGAGTACGTATATGGGGAACAGTCCCATGGGGTCATGGATTCAGAGGGCGAGGATGAGGTGGGGGACGAGTACAGTGAGCGTGGCGAGGAGAGTGAGGATGTTCAGGAGGCACATGAGACGGACAGCGTGTCGAGCGCGGCTAGCTCAGAACGGTCGGAGGAACGCGACATAGAGGTTGACATACGTGCAGAGATTGCGCACATCGCTCGCAAGTACAACCTCCCGAATGAGGCTATTACAGACATTATACAGCTGTTTAAGGCACGTAACCCGTCCGACGACGATCTCGAAACGTGGGAGACTTATAGGGATCTGGAAAAATGGGAGGAGGAGGTTTTGGAAGCGCATGAGCACTGGGAGGAGGTCGAAATAGTACTTGAAGGAGATCTCGGTGTCTTGACGTTGCGTCACCGCCCGATCGTGGAGGTATTTGTGGCATTATGGGAGAGGATGTCAGGAGTGGATGGGTTTGCCACTGAATGGAGGGAAGAGAAGGTCGACGGGGTGACGGTATATCGCAATGCGGCGGGTTGCAAATGGTTTAAGGAAGCCACGGTGAGCATTACCGCCATGTCCTGTCAATGTCCTGCCAAACCATTCGCACCGTTTGTACTAAGTGGTCTCTCGTCACATTTACAGGGAGCTATGGATGGAGAGGCGATTGTAGCAGGTGTGATTTTGTTTAGTGATGTGACCCACCTGAGTTTCAATGGCCGTCAAACGGCGCACCCCTTGCAATTCACGCTCATGAACATTCCAGAGGCTTTAAGGTGGATGCTGGGAGCAACCGAGCTGATTGCTATGTTTCCACCGCTGCCTGCGGAAATGTCAGCCGAGCAAAAGGCCGAGGTCATGCAAGTGATGCTGGGCATTGTACTAGGCCCCCTAATGGCCTTTTCAAGCAAGGAAAGGTATGTCGTCATGCCACCATATGGCTATGTGTCGATGTGGAGCATGCATGACCGGGCAGTGTTGTCGCATGGACTGTTTGGGCGTTTATAAGATGGCGTAATATTGTGCTGCTCGCAGTGGCGGGATCAAAGTGCAAGACGCAGCGGGCGTGGAGATGACAGTTCATCCGTTGCTGGCGGACTACGTGTGTGACCACCCCGAGTCGTCTATAGTCACATGCACGATGGCTGCGACTGCACTGCAGCCGTGCTCAATGTGTACAGTGGGATGGTGGGATTTGAACAAGGTTTCCGAGACCTTCCAACCACGGACGATAGAAGGGCAGCGGGAGGTTTTTGAGCTGATGCAGCAGAGCACTCCCGAGTATCGTGAACTTGTAAAGACGGCATTCTCGACCCACTACGCTGCTGTAAGTGGACATTTGAAGGAGGTTCTGCATGGTGGATTTTTCGCGTATATTGGTGTTGTGTATTCCCTCCGTTGAGTGTGGGTAAGCTCGTGCCGAACTTGTGTGCAGTGTGCTCTATGGGACTGGGCGTATGTCGATACGCCATGGGGTAATCTGTACGAAGCCATTGGTATTTGTATCTTACATGTGGTGGATGAGGGTCTCTGGGTGCACACAATGAAGTGCATCTTGGGGAGACTTACACCCACTTTACGCGCGGAGCTTTTGAGGTGTGTGTGGTTGGTGGAGCATATGCGTTTTCCGTCTTTCAGAAATCCCCTGTCACACTGCGCCATACAATGCTGCATAGATACGGCCGTAGTGCTAATCGTGCCGTTATGCCATCCGCCACCCGGCGGGTGATATATGCAGGCGTTGCCGGGCTGTTCTGGTGGACACCCCGGCCTCGCTCCTGAGGGCTCCAGACCCCTCGTACTACTTCCGTACTGTGGCACAGTACGCGGCATGGGAACACCGGGCAATGATGCAGATTGTTCCCCTCATCACGCACCTCCCCAGGTACGAGGACATTGGAGAGGCGACCGTTCTGTTCAGTGAATGGTACAAGGCTTACTTCCATGTGGAGTACCACACTGATCAGTCTCTTGCGGCCATGGTCACCATGACAGAGAGGTGAGACCACATAACCTTGGATGCTGATGTTGGCTGACTCGTTTGAGTGTCTTTTATAACATGGCAGTTTTCAATGGCACAGTACGCTCGCAGTTTGTTTCTCTGTTCTGCTCACTACTAAGCCACACCCGCTTGCGATTCTTTCCAACCCTTGGGGGTATTGCATGTCATGACGCCACGTGCTTGTGTCTGGGCCAGGCTCATCGCTAAGCTCGTTGCCGTGTTCCCGAATCAGAGGTCAGGGTTCCTCATCGTGAAGGTACACCAGCTGTCTCACCTCCCCGCCGCCATTGTGATGCGAGGCATGCCCATTGAGTACTCTACCAACATGTATGAGGCCAAGCATAAGATCTCGGTGAAATGTCACGCTAAGAACACAAACTGGAGAGACGTAACGCGCGACATTACGGTGAAGCACTCGCGGATGGCAGCCATTAGAGGGCTGGTGCGTGCCGAGGGTGGCACCCGGGTGTACAAGACCGCAATGCGCCTGGTAAGTCTCTTCTTGAAACTGTTTGTGAAGCCATATCGTGCTCGTTGGCCTTGTTCTGGCCTGAAATGCCGGCCCCTTTAGTTTGTATCAACCCTGCTGAGTGGGACAGAGTATTTTCATGCCATGTTTGCTTAAACCGTAACCTGAACCAGGCGGTGGAGCACAACATCCGTGTCCTCACCAAACGAAGCCGTCGCATGGAGGTCGACGTCGACATGGATCCTGTGTGGTCGGAGTTCCGTGATGCACTCGGGCCCGATGTCATGGCAAGAGCGGTGGAGGTGATGAGAGCAGTGGGCATTGATGCAGATACGGTGCAGGTGAGTCATTTCATTAGTTGGTTCCTAAAGACACCCCGCTAGTCGCCCCCGTTGCAACATTGATTTGGTATGCAGAAATACTTGGGCACACGAAATCAGGCGTGAGTCTTACCCTTGTGCATGTGCGATTACGTGCAGGTTCACACTGCGCTGGCCATCCCCCCGCACGACCGGATGGAACGAGGAGTTTTGGGTCATGTTATAAAGGCGTCGCCGGCAGAGCAAAAGTTCAGCCATGTGCATATAGAAGGGCAGGGTGGGGTGTGGTATGGGAGATGCCTCATGCTCTTTCACTTCACTGATGCTAGTCAGCAAGTCGTCCGACGTGCACTAGTCAAGTACTACACGGAGCTGGACACCCCATGCCCTATCACAGGATGTCGGAGGCTTCGGCTGACCACCGGGAGAGATGATTACGCGGTGTTGGAAGTAGACAGCATTCTTGGTCTAGCACACATCGTTCCGAGCTTCACACAGGCGGATATATCACTTGTCAACCGGTTTTTGTTTTAGGGTTTAGAGCTGTAACTTGTGAGACCCACCATCCAAGGGGGCTAAACCCTTGTGCTAAGCCCAATGGACGGAACTGAACGCTAACCCGAAATCTGTGTAGGTGGTTGAGATTGCATGCTGAGTATTTGTGTGCTTTGTAGAGCGGAATGAATCGTTGAGGTGCCGGACATGTCGACTTAAATATTATCTTTTCGGCTGACATGATGTATTGTTTTTCTAGGCAGGCAATGTAGTTGCAAGACAGATTACAGCACAAGTCACGTTCGGGACAGGTTGTTATGGGGCACAAAACCTCCTCTAGGCGGAAATGTCTCGAAAGTGTCTTGCAGGACGGTTTCGGGACAGATTCTCGACAGATGTGAGACAGAATGGTTTTGGGACAGATTGGGGACCGAGCAATTTTGGTGATGATGAGGGACCTTCACGCGGCCTCGCGTGCCATTTGCACTTGTTACAGAAACGTTGTCATGCGACATCACCAAAAAGTTGACGTCCCAAAACGATCACCCCGATTTGGTTTTCCCTAACGACTCTTTCGGGCAACCCGAAAATGACCCACATGTATCTACGATCTCAAAGGGGACTTTCCGAACAGTGTACGGATTGTCCTGAAAGTGTCCCATCCCAAATTTGTCCTGAACTTACAGGTTGTCTTCCCTTTCCCCAGGGGTTGTTTGGCCCCAATGATAGCAGCGGTAGACACGCTGCCGTCACGTGGGAGTGGCGCGATGAGCGATGCTGACGCGGCGCCGGCAGTGAATAGCGCCGCACCTGGAGGGACAGGGAATGCGGCAGGACAGCGGCATGGTGAGAGGACGAGAACCGCCAGTTGGGTGCGTTTACTACCGTAGCAAGCGCCAGCCGGACGGCGGAAAGAAACAGTGACGCGCTCAGTGCCGATGCTCAATGACAGTGGCCAACAATCCCGCAAATTCGCGGAATAGGCACTGGATACATACTCGAATTTGAATATTTTTACTGAAATGCTGCGGACGGTCAGTTTATTCATAACGGGGAGAAAAAAAAATGTTCTTGGCACTCGAAAGTGAACATAACTCTAGGCCGTCAGAAACAGCAGTGGTGC